AGAGAGAGAGAGAGAGAGAGAGAGAGAGAGAGGCAGTAATCCACCTTTCAGGATTTGGAAGAGTAGTTTTGGTCCAGCAACAAGAAGGTAAATAAGTGTGTTAGAAATCTTGACAAAAATACTATGGACAAAATAGCCATCTGATACTAAATCAAAGATATTTTTAAAACATACATGAGCAGGATAAATTTGCAGGACTCTTTCTTTGGATACTTGCAAATATTCAACCTGTGACTATGACATTACTTCACTGCCTTTCACCTTTATCTTCCAAAGTTAATGGGAGGGCACAAAACTAGGCAACTGGCCAAAGTAAAAGTAATGCGACCATATTAGAAAATTACTGAAAGTTTCAGTGATTTCACATTATCTTGGGCCAGACTGGCCTGAACATTCAGACGAGCCAGGCTGGCCATTGGGGCCTGGCTTCCACGAGTTCCCAAGAAGACAATGTGTCACCAAGCATACAAGCGGTCAGAGCTGGGCAGTGCTGGTGGGCACAGCTCTGCATCTACACAAACACAAAATGATTTCCAGAGAAAGACAGCAGGCTCTGCAGTTGTGCTCACCTCCCGCTGCCAGGAGTCCCCACATGGAAGAGGAATCTAAGAGGGCAGAGGAGGAGAAAATGGCAGCTGAATAGGCAGACCTGTCGGGCACCTCATCCCAGGCCCAGGCTGGAAATAAAACTAAATTGGAGAACATTCACCTGGAATTTCCAACTGTGGTCCAGCTGAGGAGGGGACTTACAAGGAAGGACAACACCTGAAGACTGGTAGGAAGGGCAAGATCTTGGGAGGTGGAGAGCCCCGAGAGGAGGGGCCTGAGCTACAGGGAGAACTGTTCCAGGAGCAGAGGCAGGGCTCCACACATTGGCAGGAAGGGGTGAAGGTGAGCTGACCAGCAGCACTTCCTGACTCACAGGGCATGACCTGCAGTGCCCCTATCATGCAAGCAGCTGCAAAAGGTAGCAGGATTTCTGGCAGCAGCGGAATCTAGACCGAGCAGACTAGAGCTGGTGGAGGAGAGAGCCCCAGTTTCCATTGCCTTTTTATTTTTATCTCTAAACCCAGAGAACAGGAGTTTTCATTTGCAACTACTCACCCGAGGCTTTGGCACAGGGAGGGAAGTATATACTTGAGGTGCCTGAGGACAGGCGGGGGTGGGAAGCATGGCAGGGAGACTTGGAAAAGCAGTAACCAGGAGTCCTGCATTGGGTGGTTCATACTCTTCAAACTGAAGCGGCCATTTTCCCTGGAGGGAGCTACCTCCTCCCAACAGCTAGAGGACAGGTAAAATGGGGGAAAAAAAACCCACCCTAGGTGATACAGCCTGCCACACCCTGCATTTTGAGCTTTACTGAGGAAACAAAGGCCGAGGTCAAGCTTATGGGTCTGAACAGTCTCAGGGAACCCTCAGTGACCGGAGTGGAGGAGAGGCCATCAGCCCCACTATTCTAGGAACCAGACTGATAAAAAGTACAGGGTCCCAGCTGACCTCATTGGTCTCCATACAAGGATCTCTGTCCAGCCAAGGGCAGAGTAATATTTTGGGCCACTCGAGGAAGAGTAGCTCTGGGACAGGAAAAAACACCCATTATATTCCCTGAACGTGAAATAGCACTAACCCCACCTAAAACCCTGTTAGAAACAGACGCTTGAGTGATTAAGATTGACTGCTGGCAGACAGGCAAAGAGGGCAGATTGGCCCATCATGCTTGCAGCCAAGGCCTGTGGAGACAGACACAAGCGGTGGACCAGTGGATCGCTTGGAGCTTCAAGCAGGTGCTAAAAGCCAAAAGACAGTGCCTGACAGTGATGAGCAACTGAGTACCCAACAGGAAGCCCTGAATTGGCAGAAAGAACAGAAGAGTGGGGTCCTAAGCCAGTGCCATGGTGCATTAAAACTCAGCTTTCTTTTTTTAAAAAATTTTACTTTTTGTACCTTTTTCTTCCTCTCTTTTATCCCCTCTTGCTTTTCTTCTCCTTTATCCTTTTTAGTTTTTCCCTTTCCTTTATTTTCTCCTCTTTTAAAAAATTGATCATCTTTACTTATCTGCTTTATTGATTTCCTATTATTCTAGTTGCTATTGTTTTGTTCATATATATAATTCCCTTTTCCCTGCTCCTATTAAAATTCCCTGTCTATTTTTTTCCATGACTCATTTTTAAATTTTTTCTTTCTTCTCTTTCTCTTTTCTTCTTCTCTTAATTTCTTAACTTGTTTCCCTTCCCAAATTTAGGTTTATCTGTCCTCTCCTCTATTCTCCTTTTCAATTTTTTTCTTGTCCTCTCATTTCTTTTCTACCTCCTTTATTCTAAACATGGTCCTTCTCCTACTCCTTTAATTCTTTAATATTATTTTCTTTATTTAGGCTCTGTATCTACAAATTCTGCCCCCCTCCCCTTTTAGGGTGTTTTTTATTTGTGCCTTTTTGCTTATTTGTTTATTGTGTTGTGTTTTCTCCCCATAATTTTTATTTCATTTTTCTATCATTCTTGCTCTCTTTTCTCTTTCCTAATTCTATTTCTCTGGTGATCATTTTTGTTGGGACTACAGGGGTCTTGTGTACATTCCTGTTCTGTTCTTTCTGTGTTACATCTTCTCTTGTATTTTGTGCTCTTTGGTCAGCACCTCCACAATGGTTGGCACAACATGGTAAGTAGTGAGCCACATAATCAGGTACCCTGAGAGGAGAAATTCCATCCATTAATAGGACAATAACATTCAAGATCAAACTACAACAGGAGAACCCAAATACCTCAAGTAGGGGGCCTTCCTAGAACACCCAACCCAAGAGACCTGAGAGACTGCACCACTGGGTTCCACAAAATATCTACTACAAAAGATCAACCCCAAAAATCTGGCTGGCATAGCAGTTTGAAACAAATATAAAGGAACAGAAAAAATAGAGAGACAAAGAAACAACCCCCAAATGAAAGAAAAGGAGGAATCACCAGGAAAGAAACTAAATTAAATGGAGGCAAGTAATTTGTCAGATAAAGAATTCAGAGTAATGGTTATACGGATGCTCAAACATCTGAATGAGCATTGCAAGCAACTCAAGGAGAATTATAAGGAGCTGAATGAGAAATACACCAACATGATTAAGAATGAAAGGGAATGAAGAATGACATAGCTGCAATAAAGAACACCATGGCAGGTTTCAACAGTAGACTAGAAGAAACTTAGGACTGAATCAGCGAGTTAGAAGACAAGGTAGAAAAAAAAACCCAAGCAGAGCATCAAATGGAAAAAAAAAATTAAAGGTAGGAGGAGAGTTTAAGGGAGCTTTGGGACATATGAAACAAAATAGTATCCACATAATAGGGGTGCCAGAAAAAGAGAGGAAGCTGAGCAAGGAATAGAAAACCTGTCAATAAATAATGACAGAAAACTTACCTGACCTTAGGAAGGAAAAAAGTCACACAAGTCCAGGAAGCACAGAGAGTCCCAATCAAGATGAACTCAAAAAGACTTACAACAAGACACATAATTAAATTAGAAACATAAAAGCCAAAAAAAGAATCTTAAAGGCTGCAAGAAAGGTATACAGGGATTTCCCATTGGGATATCAACTGATTTCTCAAAAGAAACACATCATGCCAGAAGGAAATGGAATGAAGTATACAAAGTGATAAAAGCAAGGGACTAAATTCAAGAATACTCTATCCAGCAAGGCTATCATTTAAAATTGAAGGCAAAATCAGGAGCTTTGCAGACAAAAAAAAAAAAAAAAAAAAAGGAAGAAAGAAAGGGAGTTTATTACCATTAAAACAGCAATGCAAGAAATGCTAATGGGACTGTTGTAAAAAGAAGAAATGAAAAGGGAAGAAGGAACACAGGCATAAAGAATAAAACTGGCAACAAACAAGTATCTATCAATAATAACCTTAAACATAAATACATTAAAGGCTCCAATCAAAAGACATAGGGTAGGTGAATGGATAAAAAAACATGACCCATATATATGCTGTCTAGAAGAGACCCACCTCAGAACAAGGGACTCACACAGACTGAAAGTGAAGAAATAGAAAAAAAAATGTTTCAGGCAAATGGATATGAAAAAGAAAAAAAAGCTGGGATAGCAATACTTATATCTGACAAAATAGACCGCAAAGTGAAGGCCATAACAGGAGATAATGAAGGCCACTTCATAATACTAAAGGGATTGATACAACAAGAGGCTGTAACTCTGGTAAACATATATGCACCAATACAGGAGCATCCAAATACATAAAAAACTTATGGAGGATAACAAGGGAGAGATTGACAGCAATGTATAGTATGGGACTTTAATACTGGATATATCTTCTAGACAAAAAATCAATAAGGAAACAGCAATCCTAAATGACACCCTAGATTATATGGAACTAACTGACAACTTCAGAACATTTCACCCTAAAGCTATGAAATATAGATTCTTCTCAAGTGCACATGGGACATTTTCAAAGATAGACCATGTGTTAGGACATAAGCTAAGTCTCTACAAATTTAAGAAGATTGAAATCATGTCAAGCATCTTCTCAGACCACAATGGAATGAAATTAGAAATCAGCTATAATAAAAACACTCAAAAAAAAAACATGGAGGCTAAATAGCATGCTATTAAATAATGAATGGGTTACCAAAGAGATCAAAGAAGAAATAAAAGTTATCCTGGAAACAAATGAAAATGAGCACACAATAATCTCAAATCTACTGGGCACAGTGAAAGTAGTCCTGAGAGGGAAGCTCATAGCACTACAGGCTTACCTCAAAAAACAAAAAAAATTTGTAATAAGTTATTTAACACTACAACTTAAAGAATTAAAAAGAGAACAACAAGAAAAGCACAGAGTAAGTAGAAGGGGAGAAAAATAAAGATCAGAGTGGAAATAAATGACATAGAGACCAAAAAATAAAAAATAAATAAAAAAGATCAATAAAACCAATAGCTGGTTCTTTGAAAGGATAAACAACATTAATGAAACACTAGTCAGACTCACCCAAAAACAAAGAAAGAGGATCCAAATAAACAAAATAATAAACTAAAGAGGTGAAATAACAACTGACTCCACAGAAGTACAAAGGATCTTTAAAAAAATATTTATGAACAACTTTATTCCAACAAATGGGACAATGTGGACAAAATGAAAAAATTCCTAGAAAAATACAACCTTCCAAAACTCAATCAGAAGAATCAGAAAACCTGAATAGGCCAATAACTACTGATAAAATTGCAACAGTAATTTTAAAACAAACAAACAAATGAAAAAACAAACAAAAAAAAAACTTCCCAGCTAATAGAAGCCCTGTTCTGAACAGTTTTACTGAATATTCAAAGAAGAACTAACACCAATCCTCCTCAAACTATTCCAACAAATTCAAAAGGAAGGAACACTTTCTATGAGGCTAGAATTACCCTAATTCTAAAATAGATAAAGACACGACAAAGCAAGAGAACTGCAGTCAATATCCCTGATGAACATAGACACTAAAATCCTTCATAAAATTTTAGAAACTCAAATCCAGTAACTCAAGAAGATCATACACCGTGACCAAGTGGGATTCATTCCAGGGATGGAAGGCTGGTACAATATCTGCAAATCAATAAATGTGATACATCTCATAAACAGACTTCAAGACAAAAATCACATGATCATATCAATTGATGAGAAATAAAAGGCAGCCAAATTGGAAAGGAGGAAGTAAAACTCTCATTATTCACAGTTCACATGATACTATACATAGAAAATCCAAAAGACTCCATCAAAAAGCACTAGCTTTAATAAATGAATTTGGTGACATAGACGGACACAAAATTAACACCCCCAAATCCATGGCATTTTTATACACCAATAATGAACTCTCAGAAAGAGAAACAATCCCATTTACCATTGCAACAAAAAAGTTAAGATACTTAGGAATCCACTTAACCAAGGAGATAAAATACCTGTACTCAGAAAACTACAGGACATTGAAAAAAGAGATAGAAGAAGATATAAACAAGTGGAAGAATATACTGTGTTCATGGATTGGTAGAATCAGTATCATTAAAATGTTTATAGTGCCCAAAGCAATTTACAGATTCAATGTAATCCCTATTAAAATACTAATGACATATTTCACAGACATAGAACAAACACTCAAAAAGTTTATATGGAACCAAAAAAGACCCAAATAGTGGCAACAGTCTTGAGAAGGAGGAATAAAGTTGGAGGAATCACAAGACCAGATATCAAGTTATACTACAAAGCCACCATAGTCAAAACAGCCTGGTACTGGCACAAGAACAGGCATATAGATCAATGGAACAGAACAGAAGCCCCAGAAATCCACCCAAGCCATTACATGCAATTAATATTTGACAATGGAATGGAGACAGTCTCTTCAGTAAATGGTGTTGGAAAAATTGGATAGATATATGCAAAAATATGAAACTAGACCACCATCTTACACCATACACAAGAATAAACTCAAAATGGAAAAACACTTAAATGCACCAGTAAGTCAGGAAACCATAAAAATCCTAGAATAAACTCTAGGCAGCAAAATCTCAGACATCTCTCATAGCAATATCTTTATTGATACATCTTGACAATGGAAACTAAGGAGAAAATAAACAAATGGATAACATCAAAATAAAAAGCTTCTGCACAGCAAAAGAAACCATCAACAAAATAACAAGAGAACCCACTGCATGGGAGAACATATTTGTCAGTGTTATATCCGATAAGGGCTTAATCTCCAAAATCTATAGGGAACTTATACAACTTAACGAAAGAAAGATAAACAATCCAATCAAAAAGTGGACAAAGGGCCTAAATAGATACTTTTCAAAAGAGGACCCACAGAAGGCCAAGAGACATATGAAAACATGCTTAAAATATGCTAGAAAATGAAACTAGACCACCAACTTACACCATATACAAGGATAAATTCAAGATGGATAACAGACTTAAATGTAAGGTATGAAACCATAAAATCTTAGAGGAGAACATAGGCAGTAAAATCTCAGACATCTCATGTAGCAATCTGTTTATAGACACATTTACTAGGGCAAAGGAAACTAAGGAGAAACTAAACAAATAGGATTACATCAAAATAGGAAGCTTCTGCACAGCAAAAGAAACCACCATCAAAATGAAAAGAGAGCCCACTGCATGGGAGAACATATTTGCCAATGATGCATCCAATAAGGTGTTAATCTCCAAAATATATAGGGAACTCATACAACTTAACAAAAGGAAGACAAATAGACTCTTCTCCAAAGCGGACATACAGAAAGCCAAGGGACATATGAAAACATGCTCAAAGTCACTAATTATTTAAGAGATGCAAATCAAAATGACAATTAGATATCACCTCATATCTGTCAGAATGGCTATCATCAACAGATCAACAAATGGCAAGTGTTGGTGAGGTTGTGGAGAAAAGGGAATCTTAGTACACTGCTGGTAGGAATGCAGACTGGTACAGCCATTACAGAAAACAGTATGGAGTTTCCTCAAAAAATTAAAAATGGAACTGCCATTTGACTCAGTGATCCTACTTCTAGGAATATATCATAAGAAACCCAAAATACTCATCAGAAAGAATATATGCACCCCTATGTTTATAACACCACACTTACAATAGCTAAGATTTGCAAACAGCCTAAGTGTCCATCAGCAGAGAAGTGGATAAAAATACTGTGGTACATTTACACAATGGAATACTACGAGGCAATAAAAAAGAAAGAACTCCTACCATTTGCAACAGCATGGATGGACCTGGAGAGTATTATGCTAAGCTAAATAAGCCAGTCAGAGAAAGACAAGTATCACATGATCTCACTCATGTGGAATCTAATGAACAACATAAACTGATGAACAAAAATAGACCCAGAGACATAGAAGCATGAACAGACTTTTGAATCTCAAAGGGAAGGCTGGGAAGGGCTGGTGGAGAGAGATCAAACCAATGAACTTGTATGCATATATGCGTAACCCATTGACACAGGCAATATACTGGTGAGGGGCCTTGGCAGGCACAGACGGGAGTGGGCTGGAAGAGGTTAATGAGGGAACAAGGGGAACCTATTTAATACTTTCGACAATAAAGATTAAAAAAATAAATGAATAAAAGTAAGTAAGTAAATAAATAAAAAGGTGGAGAAGTCATGAGCACAATTCTCAGAGCTGGGTGGTGGTAGAAAGAGATAAGCAAGTAGAAATCATCTGTGGCAAACTCTCCGTTCCCCTTACTATACCCATTGCATCCAACATAGGATCCTTTGGAAGAAGCAATACCTGCTTTGTCTTAAATGCCAGTACTCAGCTTCCCATTTACAACATCAAACTCGTTTTTAAAGGCTTTAATTATTTACTTAAATTCTGGTTTCACAAACAGAAAATTGTTATGGACTTGTAGGAAGTATCTTTTTCTCCCATGGGGAAAAAACCTTGGAAGCCAAGTGCAATGGGCTGGGGTTGTTCTAATCTGTGAAGGGAATACCCGTTTGGGTAACAGAGGACCTGATGGGTTCATAGCTCCTCTCCAATACCAAGAAAACGCTTACATAACAGGTTCTGTTACACGTTGCATTCAGTATGTATCTGACAGAATTCTTAGAACAGTGGTTCTCAACCTTGGCTGCACATTAGAATCACCTGGGAATCTTTTTAAAATCCTGACTTCTGGGCCTCATCCTCCGGAAATTCTGTTTCTTTGTTATGGGGTGGGGCCACAACATTAGTAACAAAGAAACAGAATTTCTGGAGGATGAGGCCCAGAAATCAGGATTTTAAAAAGATTCCCAGGTGATTCTAATGTGCAGCCAAGGTTGAGAACCACTGCTTTAGAAACAACATGCTCTTCTCATTAAAACTGTTAGTCTGGTGACATTTCACACAGCGTTAGACCAACTCTATGGAATGGCCTGATTGATTTAACATTCTGTCAGCACCGCTGGCACTGGGTGATCGTTACATAAGCGAGCCAATGGCCAGCTGAGGATATAGAATGCCCAGGATTTGCTCTGTCTTCGCTGCATTTTGAGGTACTCTAAACCTACTCTGGGAACTTATGCTCATTCTGGCTAAAAAATCTTGCAGAAAATGAAGCTGATGTCACTTCAGAAATGGCAAACTCTGGCAATGCCAACCTGTCAGAATCATGCCACCAGATTACGAAGCAGCACAGTGGAAAAATCTGGAAAGGGGAAAATGCATTCAAAATTAGGACAGTTTGTTTTTGTTTTACTAATTTATCTGCTAAAGCAAGAAATCCCTCAAAAGAATTAGAGTAAAAATCAAAGGATCTTCCATGCCTCTGTATGTGCAGTTTTCCACAGCCCACCACGACTGCAGCCTCATTATATTACAACACTTATTTCCAAGCGTTGTCGTTTGTTCTGAATCTTCATGACTGAGATGACAAAAGGAGTTAGCCTGATACTTCCTGAGGCATTTTCACTTCTAATTTATATGGTTTAAACAGGGACTTTTTGAGCATTTGGTATCTACCCAGAAAACTAAGAGAGTTATTTCTTTCTAGAGTTAGCCAGCCAATGTTTTTATTTTATCAAAATAGCTACACTGTACAGGTGTTTGCTGATTGCAGAAACCACAGCTGGAACTGAGCTTCAAAGTCCTAGTCTTCCAAGACTGTAAGTGTCGCTCGGGCAGATTTAGAAGTAGGACTGCCTGTTTCAGCTCCCAGCACTATCCCATTACCTCTGTAATTTTGTGGTGAAATTGTGAAGGCCCATCTATGTGGAATTCAGACAACATAAGAATACACATACAATCCTGGGTAGCATGGCATTGCCAGTCATTAGAGTCTAAATCAAACTCTGGTGTGATGAGACCAACATATAGCCCGTTATCCTCAATGTTATAGGAATAAAAGTTCGCATGAGATCAAAGCCGTCAGGTTGGTCAAGAATAGAAGCAAACAAAAGACACACCATAAGCTGTGTCTCTGAGAACCCGCTGTGAAGGCTGAATTGCTCAGACCCATGTTTTATTCGACTAAACTTTTAAAGGGTTTCTCGGGGAGAAGATAAGGCACGTTCCCCAGCAGAACTCACTTGCCCAGAATGTCAGGCAGAAAAATAGACATGCATTTGATTGAACTTGGAAAAACATAAGAAGACATTTTGAGTTGCAGAGAATATTAACAATACCGCTGCAAGCCTTATGGAATGGCCCGTTGAAACCTGCCCCCCAGAGTCAGAGCTTCAGTGTCCTCTGAGGCCAGTAACATACCAGGTGTGGACTTCTTTTACCAATCCTAGGTAGAAGATGGTATATGGAATTGAACTGCCTATGCCTTTGGCAAGGAATTGAACAAAAGAAAAATACATAAAAAACATTTTAATCATTTTAAGTGTATAATTCAGTAACATTAAGTACATTTACAATGTTGTGCAACTATCACTATCCATTTCCAGAACATTTTCATCATCCCTAATAGAAACTCTACTCCCATTAAACAATTACTCCCCATTCCCCTCTCTCTTCAGCCTCTTGTCACCTTTATTCTATTTTATGTCTATAAATTTACCTACCTATTTCATAGAAGTGGAATTGTATATTTTGTTACTGACTTATTTCACTTAGCA